TCTGTCCCACGGCATAATGTTCCATGTCGCTGTATCCGTCAGTGGGCGCTCAGATTGTTTGCATGTTTTTGTTTTTATGAACAATACAACCCTAAGTGTTAGCGTCCACACTTTCATGTGAACATGGGATGTCACTGCCCTGGGGTGTCCCTGCCCTGGAGTATGTGCCTGGGCAGGAAACTGGGACCTCCGAGGACAGAGCTGCGAGTCTGTCCTCAAGCTCCAGTGCCACGTTGGACATTGTTCCTCACAGAAGTGAAGAGTTCAGATTGCCCCAGGAGCCTCTCTGCCTGATGGGTTATTAATATGTTTTGCTTTGGGTATCTTAGTTGGAGAAATGACATTTAAGGTATTTTGCACATTATTAAATGAGGTTTTTTTTACGATGATATAATTTCTGAGTTCTTTATTAAGTGTGATTTGTGTATTTTTCATTCTGTGGATGGCTTTTCACTATTCCCCCGCCTTGGTTAATTCCTGTGCATTTTAATCTTTTTAACACTGCAGTCAATAGAACTGTTTCTTAGTTTCCTTTTCAGATTATTGGTAGCGTATAAAATACAATTTATTTTTGGTTGCCAATTTCGCATTTTACTTTTGCTGAATTCATTCATTAGTTCTCTTTTCACTATTTTTTAATGCTGTTTTTTGGAATGCAGAGACTACAGCTTTAAGTCCATTTAACTTTTTCTCCTTTGTTCTCATATTTTTGGTACCTGTTTTACAAATCCTTTGCCGTAAGGCACAGTGGCGCACACAGCTACTCCGGAGGCTGAGGTAGGATAACTGAAAGTTGGGAGCTGGCCTGTGCAATGTAGTAATACTGGATCCTGTCTGAAAATAAAATTTAGGGGCTGGGGAGCTAGCTCAGTGGAATAAGCGTTTGCCTGGCAAGCGCAGGGCCTTGAGTTCGAACTCTGGTACCACAAATAAATAAATATATTAAATTTATTTATTTATTTATTTATTTATTTATTTTTTTTGTGGAACTGGGGATTGAACTCAGGCCCTTGCGCTTGCCAGGGAAGCGCTTATTCCACTGAGCCATCTCCCTGGCCCTTCTCAGCTAGAATCTTGCTATGTTGCACAGGCTACACTGTGACTCCTAGGCTCAAGTGATCCTCCACTTTGCCCTCGAGGTAGCCAGGACTCCAGACAAATATATTAAATTTAGAAAAAAGGGATGTAGCTCAGTGCTTCCCAGGCCTAGTCCCCAGTGCTATTAAAAAACAAAATCCTTTGCCAATCTCAAACTCATGAAGATACCTGTTTTCTTCTGAGAGGTCCCCCCCCCCCAACGGGGGATTGAACTCAGGCCCTTACGCTTGCCAGGGAAGCGCTTATTCCACTGAGCCATCTCCCAGCCCCTCTTCTGAGAGTTTTATAATTATAGCTCCTATATTTTGGTCTTTGATGCATTTTGAGTTTTTGTGTGTAGGGTGAGCTAAGAGTCTTACTTCATTCTTTTACATGTGATTAAGGACTGGAGTATTTAAATTTAAGGCTTTGAAGGTAGAGCAGGTCTCCCTAGGATGTAGTCATGGACATAGCTTCTGCGGGAGGCGAAGACTCACTGCTAGTGTTCATGTCCTTGGCGGGCCAGGAGGAGGCTGAGGTGGGAGTGTTACTTAGCCCAGGAGTTCAGGTCTGGCTTGAGCATTCTGAGACTGTATGTGTGTGTAAATTAGTAAGATGGGGCCAAGGAGTTAGATCCAGAAGAGACATTGAAAGTGGGGTGAGCCTCAACAGTTTTTACCCTGAAATACTTGGGGAGCTGAATCCTGTGCATGGGAAATCTTAAAGTTTGCAGTCATTCAGGACAGAGTGTGTGAGAGCTGGAGTTTACCAAGGTGTACCCCGTGCAGAGGAGCTTGTCTAAGGAGAAGAGGTTTGAGCAGCTGGATGTGTGACAGGGTATTCTGGGAGACTGGAGTAGGAGGATTGCAAATTTGAGTCCAGTTTGGGCTGCATGGTAAAACTTTTGTCTAAAAACCAGAGTTTTGATGACACCTTTGGGTGCAGCAGTGCGGCTCTGGTGGTACTTGGCTGCAGTTAGACCAGCTTGGACTCTGATTTGCAAGTCTCTTCAGCGTGAAGCTGACCTCCTGTTCTGTCCTAGAAGTGGAATTAGTTTCTCATTTGGAAGAAAAGAGTTTCCTCATCAGTATCTGCTGTGACCAGAGTGTGTGGACCCCAAAACAAAGCCCCTCATTCATCATGCTGGTGCTGGGATTCCATGGGGGGGTTAAAATTCCCAAGTGGGTTCCAGCACATTCTTAGATTTTTTCTCCAGACCTGCAAGGATCCATGGCCCACATGCTTACCACCTACCCACCCTCTTATCAGAGAAGGAAAACTAATCCAGGATAGTGGGGAGAATCCAGGGGATGTTGGTCATTAAACTAGGTAGGGCCAGGTGTGGTGGCACATGCCTATAATCCCAGCACTCTGGAGGCTGAGGCAGGAGAATCACTGGGAGTTTAAGGCCAGCTTGGGCTACATAGTTTAAGGCCAGTGTCATGGGGAGACACTTTTTTTTGCGGAACCGGGGATTGAACTCAGGCCACTGCGCTTGCCAGGCAAGTGCTTATTCCACTGAGCCAGCTCCCCGGCCCCATGGGGAGACACTTTTAAAAAAATAAAATAAGCTGTAGGTGGCTAGATGTGTTGTCCTATACGTGTAATCCCAACACTGGGAGACTGAGGCAGGAGAATCTGAGTTCAGGGCTGCCCTGAACTACGAAGTATGACCTGTCTCAGAAAAGAAAAAAAAAAAAAGATGTGGCTGGGGAGATAGTTCAGCAGTCTAGGTGCCTGCTGGGCAAGCGCAGGAATCCTGGTTCTAGTATCCACGGAGTCCAGGCATGGTGGTGTGCACCTGTAACTCCAGTGCTAGGGAGGCTGAGACAGGAGGATCACTACTACTGAATGAGACCATGTACCAGATAAAAGATTTTTGTTTTTTTAATTTTTTTTAAGGTGAGTTCAAGGCCAGCTTGAACTGTGAGACCCTGTTTGTTTGTTGTCAGCCCTGTGCGGCTTGAGTAGCACGTGGTGCTGGGGATCAAACTGCGGCCCCTGCGCTTGCCTAAGCTTGCCTAAGCAGCTGCTTTAGACCACTGAGCTATCTGGCCAGCCCAGACCCTATCTCGGAAAGACAAGAAAAAGCAAAGGCTATAGGTAGAAGAGAGATCATCAGGTCTCCAGTTCTGTCCCAGGTGCTGTGCAGACAACGGTCAGGAAGACTGGTTGTAGGGATGTTTGAGAAGAGGTAGACTGCAGATCATGGGTGCTCCTCGCCTGGTGAGGGCCCGCACGGTCTCTGAGCAGCCTCTGGGCCTGCCTGGTTCCGCAGGGGGCAGGGAGGACAGCAGGAGACCAGCCTCTGCACAGCCCCCACGGCAGCGGGAGTCCCTGTTTGGGGGTCCCTGAAGGTCTAAACCTGCCTCCATGTGCCTCTGCCACGGTAGGCCCAGGCCCCCTTTCCTGAGCCTTGGCTGCTCCTCTGCTACCTGGCAGTAGCCATGCCTCTGCGTCCTCACTTTCCAGAGACTCTGGCTTAGAGAGGCAGCCTGATGATCCTCTGTGGAACTCAGCACTGTCAGGAACAGAGTTATTTAGGCTTGGTTTTTCGTTTTGTTTGTTTTTTGAGACCGGGTCTCATTGTGTGGTCCGTGCTGATGCTACCCTGGAACTCAGCCATCCTGCCTCAGCCTCCTGAGTGCTGAGATGGCAGGCATGCATGAAGGTGCCCAGCTTGTCTAGTGTTGATATGGTAAGAGAGGTGAGATCACGGAGAGGCGAGAGCACTTTGCCTTTCAGATCAAAGGGGTTTTTTTTCCTTCTTTTTCAGACAGGGTCTTGCTGTGCAGTTCAGGCTGGCCTTGAGCTCCTTTGTAGCCCAGGCTGGTCTTAAACTTGTAATGATCCTCCTGCCTCAGCCTCCCGAGTGCACCACCATGCTTGACCTAGGTTGAAGTTTTATAATTGCTTTTTTCCTTTTCAATCTGTTTGAGCTCCATATTCAGGCCTTGTTTAGTTTGAGACAAGGTCCCGCTAGGTCTCAAATTGCCCAGGCTAGGTTGAAATCTTTCTCTATCAGTCTTCCAGAGAATGGGGATTATAGGCATGTGACTGGCTTATAATTAGTTTCATAACTGGATTCTGGATAGAGTTGTTGGCTCTGGTTATCTCATGCTGCAGAATATTTGGTACTTTCATAAGACAGCTGCATAAGTCATGGGTGTGGGAAGAGTAGTTCAGTGGTGGAGGACATGCGTGTCACATCCGTCAGTGCCCAGCACTGCAACAGGAGCACAGACAGCCCCATACCCAGGCGGTGGGGCAGGAGGGTCCTGTGAGTTCAGCCTGGCCTGTGTAGTGAGGTTGTGTTAAATACAAAGTTTGGAAGCAAAGTGTAAGTCACTGTTTGCCCCCTTAAGGGTAGCAGTGCCTTGAGAACTCCATTACAAGGAGCTAGTGAGTCCCTAGCTCAGCCTCTCCCGCCTGTGGGCTGTGCGCTACCTTGGGCAAGCGTTCTGAACATATGTAAATTAATGCAAGCCAAGTTTCCACTAAGGCCTTGGATGTGGAGTAGTTGTTCATTAAGTTATCTCAGTCTGGGTGCTGTTTTGAAAAGTGTTCAGTCCTAGATTAGATAAGGACGTTTGTAGCATAAGACTGTTTAAGCCATTTTGAGGTGGGAAGTCACAGTTTAAATCAGGCTACAGGCCTGCTTTTTTAAGAGAAAATTTATAGAAAAATTGGAGGCCACCAGCAGCAAAGATGAGACTGCCTCCGTGGGTCCCGTTTGCACCCCAGGCCCCCTCCAGGCTGCTGCTGCTGCTGCTTACATTTCCTTGCAGTGGGAGAGTGTGGTGTGTGCCTGTGTGTGTAGCGCATTCCGATCCTACTTCCTTGCGGTGGGAGAGTGTGGTGTGTGTGCCTGTGTGTGTAGCCCGTTCCGATCTTACTTCCACCACGGATGGGAACTTTTCCAGGGTGAAGAAGGGGAGTACAGTGAGGAGGAAAACTCCAAAGTGGAGCTGAAGTCAGAAGCGAATGACCCTGCTAACTCACCCACTAAAGAAGAGAAGGGAGAGGAAAAAGCTGACAGCAAGGGCACCGTGACCGGAGAGCGGCAGAGCGGTGACGGGCAGGTCAGGCCCAGTGTGGTCCTCCCTGCAGGATGGGCCGCCATGCTGGAGGCCGCAGGTAAGGAGCCCATGTCATTCCCCAGGAGAGCACGGAGCCTGTGGAGAACAAGGTGGGGAAGAAGGGCCCAAAGCACCTGGACGATGATGAGGACCGGAAGAACCCAGCCTACATTCCCCGGAAGGGGCTCTTCTTCGAGCACGACCTCCGTGGGCAGACACAGGAGGAGGAAATCAGGTAAGGGTGTTCCCGTTGTGTGCCTGGGCTGGTGCTGCGTGCACGGCATGTGCTGTGCTCCGTGCTCTTCCTGGTTACTCGTAGGCTTTGAGACCCGACATACTGTGCAGGGGCGCCCTTGTGCTGAGACGGAGCTGTCCTGGGGCCTGAGGACCCCGGTGCACTTTGCCTTGGTGTTTGTCCAGGCCCAAGGGGCGCCAGCGGAAGCTGTGGAAAGATGAGGGTCGCTGGGAGCATGACAAGTTCCGGGAAGATGAGCAGGCCCCCAAGTCCCGGCAGGAGCTCATTGCCCTCTATGGCTACGACATCCGTTCAGCTCACAGTCCTGATGACATCAAACCCCGAAGAATCCGGAAACCCCGGTGAGGAAAGCTCAGAGGCTAGATTACTGATATTCTTAGAAAAAACTCATTTACTTTTCTAAATGTCTTTCTAGGGCCGGGGAGATGACTCAATGGAATAAGCGCTTCCCTGGCAAGCACAAGGGCCTGAGTTCAATCCCTGGTTCCACCAAAAAAAAAAAAAACTTATATAAAAGGCCGGGGAGATGGCTCAATAGAATAAGCGCTTCTGTGGCAAGCACAAGGGCCTGAGTTCAATCCCCGGTTCCGAAAAAAAAAAAAAAAAGTCTTTCTAGCCAGTGAGTGAGTAAGGAATATTTTCCTGTTGTTGCACCCCGCCTCTGCACCTCTGTTTATTTGTCTTTCCTGGTGGATTCCTCCTGTCAGGGTTCATGGAGTTGTCCTTGCTAGGCCTTTTTAGAATGTCCTTTGGAACATTTGGGAGTACTAGTTTGGGTAAAGAATATGAGATGTCTCTGACTCTGTCTGTTGTGGTCCCTTTTGGAGTGTCGTTGTCATTTTTTAGACAAGATTTTACTATGTAGCTCTGAACTCACAAGGATCCTCCTCCCTCAGCCTTGAGTTCTAGGATTATAGGTGTCTGCCACCACTCCCAGCTATTTTATTCTGTGTGTGTGTGTATTTGTGTATTTTAGGGAAGGATCTACAGGTGTTCAGAGTCTCACTGCTAGATCAGACTCAGTGATCCACCTGTTTACAGCTTCTCAAGAGCGAGGATTACAGGCACATGCCACCATGCCCAGTCTCAGTTGCTATCTTGGTGCATCCTGGGGGTGGGGCTGGCCTGGCAGGCCCGGGAATCAAACCCCAGTCCCTGCACCTGCTTGCAGGCCCTTTAATCTGCTGAGCTATTTGGTCGGCCCTATTTTTTTCTTTTCTTTTTCTCCCCCCCCCCCCAGTACTGGGGCGTGAACTCAGGCCCTTGCACTTGCTAGGCAAGTGCTTATTCTACTGAGATGTCTCCCCAGCCCTTATTTTATTTTTTCTCACAGGTGAAACATATTTATCATCTAGCAATCAAATTTTACATATTGGTAAAAACACATTACTTTAAGGCTGACAAATCTTTTTTTACTCTTAATGTGTAACACACAGATATAAATCATTTCCTTGACAGCCTCTGTAAAACGTAAACTATTGCAAACTGCCTCAGCCTAATTTCTGAAGCAGTGATTAAGGTGCTCTACTGAAAAGCTCAGGTAGGAGTCCTAGTTTACTAACAGAAAGAAAAGGAGAAAAGGTACGATAGGTGAGTAGAGATCTTTCAGTGTTCAAGAACGATTGCCGACCTAATGTCATTTAGCTGGCAAAAGGAGTCACATGTTTCATAGCCATGTATATTTCTTAAATCTGAACTAGATATAAAAGTCCTATTTTTTGGAAATTTACATAAAATCCACTAGAAGGCTTATAAACATTATTTTCTCTGCTGTTGTCTAAAGTCAAACAAGGAATATCAGTATGTTTAGCAACTAGTTCAAATGCAACACATACAAATATAAAACAGTCATAAAATATTCCATTAAAGAAGTATAACCTGGGCCGGTGAGATGGCTCAGTGGTCTAAAGCACCTACTTAGAACAAACTTAGCAAAGCAAAGGGACTGCGGTTCAATCCCCCAGCACCACATGCCAGCCAGGGCCGCTCCCTGGTGGGCTAAGCTGGCCACACACACACACAAATAAATAATTAAAAAAAAAAAAAAAAAAACTTATTGGGGCCGGGGAGATGGCTCAGTGGAATAACCGCTTCCCTGGCAAGCGCAGGGGCCTGAGTTCAATCCCCGGTTCCACAAAAAAAAAAAAAAAAAGTATAACCTTATGACATTTCCATGTTTTTGCCTAGATTTACCAACACATTTTGACCAACATTTTAACAACTGCATAATGAATTTATCTGTGTACTGGGTGGCAGGTGGAGGGAGCGGGTTCTGAGGGTGATGGTCAGGGGTCACAGCCACTTCTTATCAGTTGGAGCTGCCAGTGCAACCATGCAGAATTGGCTGGTCATCTGGGAATGACGTCCAGAACAGCAAACCTTGAGCCATTTTAGAGGGTCATGGACAAGATCAATCCAAGCCTGAATGTAAGGGATCTGGTCAGGGTGTCCCAGAGTTCTGAAGATGACTCTCTGGACCTTAAAGTTCATGGAGGAAGAACACGGTCTTCATAGGTATAAAACAAAGCAGACCTGTCCTGCCCCCTATTTTATTCTTAACAGTTTCTCTCTTCCTTGTTTCAGATACGGGAGTCCTCCACAGAGAGATCCAAACTGGATTGGTGAGCGACCAGTCAAGTCCCACCGACACCAGGGTCCAGGGGGCACCCTGCCACCAAGGACATTTATTAACAGGAATGCAGCGGGCACCGGCCGCATGTCTACTCCCAGGAATTACCCCCGATCTGGAGGCTTCAAGGAAGGCCGAGCTGGGTTCCGGCCTGTGGAGGCTGGGGGCTCACATGGTGGCCGGTCTGCCGATACTGTGCGGCACGAGCCTGGCTACCGTTCTTGGCGCCCAGAGCAGGCGCCGGCACGGGACCCCTCTCCAGAAGCAGACATGCTGGTGCTGGGGAATACCGAGAAGGAAGAGGCGGCTTCTGAGACACCAGCCGCTGCCCCTGATGCTGTGCCGCCAGCCCCTGACCGGCCCATTGAGAAGAAATCCTATTCCCGTGCCAGAAGAACCCGAACCAAGGCTGGAGATGCAGTCAAGGCCTTGGAGGAGATGCCCCCTCTGCCTGAAGGCCTGACCTCCGCCCCGCCAGTCCCAGAAGCCACCACTGCCCCATCAGCGAAGGGCGGGAGTTGGGAGTCTCCTGTGGATTCGGCCACAGGTGGACTGGAGCAGGATGTGGCACAGCTAAGTCTTGCGGATCAGAACTGGAGTCCAGGACAGCCCTCCTTCCTGCAGCCTCGGGAGCTCCGAGGTAGGCACCCGTGGCGGTGTCAGGTCTCATTGCTCTAGAGAGGATGGATAGGGGCTGCCCCATTTCCCAGCTTTGACCCTCTTTTTGCCCTGTTCCAAGACTGCCCCACTGTTCCCTGTTATCAGATGTTACTGAGCTCTCGAGGCAGAACTCTTCTTCTCCATACAGAATAGGAGGGCAGCAGTGTTCTTTTTTTGACAGGGAAATGTTGAAAAGCAAAAACTTAATTGATTTTGATCAGGATCTTCTGTCTCTGAAGGAAGCCTCTTTAATTTCTTTACTCTTCTAAAAACACAGTGCCCAGTAGAACCTGATGTAGTGTCAGTACTTTTAAATACAATACTTAAAATATGGCGGGAGGGAGGAATTGAACTTTCAATTAACTAGCTGCAAGTGGGTGTGGTCAGTGGGTATCCTGTAGGACTGGATGAGTCGATAAGAGCGGGATCTGCCTATTGCCACTTGTTTCTATTCTGCCTTGTCCTGGTCTAACAAGGTACAGCAAAAGGTCTTTTACCCAGTTTTTAAATTTAGCTCTTAATTTTATGATTAAAAGTCCTGGCTGAGGGGCCCGGGAAGCACAAGTCCTGGCTGGGCATGGTGTAATTACACCTGCAATCTCAGCAGTTGGGAGGCTGAGGCTGGAGGATTGCTACAAATTCAAGGCCAGCCTGGGCTACATAGTGAGACTGTCTTTAAAAATCAAAACAAAGGGCCAGCCAAATAGCTCAGTGGATTCAAATGCCTGCAAGCAGGTGCAGGGGCCAAGGATTCAGCCCCGCCCCCAGGGTGCACTGAGACTGGGCCTGGTGGTGTGTACCTGTAATCCCAGCTCTTGGGAGGCTGTGAACAGAATCACTACAAATCCATCTAGTAGTGAGATCCTGAACACCCTGTAGACCCTTACCTAAAATACAAAAAAGAAAAATCAATACAAGGGATTAGAAATCTTCATTGGAGACTGGGCGTGGTGGCACGGGCCTGTAATCCCAGCTCTTGGGAGGCTGTAAACAGGTGGATCACTAGGAGTCTGATCTAGTAGTGAGACCCTGAACACCCTGTAGACCCTTCCCTAAAATTAAAAGAAAAAAGGAGGGGCTGGTGAGATGGCTCAGTGGTCTAAAGCACCTACTTAGAACAAGCTTGGCAAATCACAGGGACCGCGGTTCAATCCCCCAGCACCACATGCCAGCCAGCCCCGCCCCCTGGTGGGCTAAGCTGCCCTCCCCATAAATAAATAATTTTTAAAAAAGAAAAAAGAAAAGAAATCCTCGTTGGGAGGCCGAGGATATAGCTCAGTAGCATAAGCGCCTGCCTGGCAGTGCAAGGTCCAGAGTCCGATCCCCAGTACTGCAAATTTAAAAAATTCTTCACTGGGTCTTGGAATTTCTATCCACTTTTCTGATAAGGATGATTTGTTTTTTTCTTATTTTGAGACAGGGTCTCTTTTTTTATATTTTATTCTGAGAGACAGACTCACTAAGTTGCCCGGGCTTGGCCCAAACTTGGAGTCCTGTGTCAGCCTCCTCGAGTGCTGGGGTTGTACACGTTACCACCATGCCCAGCCTCCACTGATACCTTACTGTCACTGGAAGCCAGTCTGCAGAATACTCCTTTACTTCTTGAGACAGTTTCAGCCAGAAGCATCGCTTCCGGGCATCCGCCCCAGACCTCTCTGATCAAAATATAAACTAGTAGATTTGTGGCCCTCCCACCCTGTCCACCTGCTGCTCAGTGGCCCAGGGGCTGCATATTACAATACACTTGGTAGCAGAACACCCTGATCATGACTTCCCAGGGCTCCTCATGCAGGAAGTGCTGGGTAGGAAAGGGGGCCCTCGTCTCTGCCCTGGGCGTCTTTCACCAAAGGGCTTTATTGTTGAGCAGTGGGACCCAGGTTCCTCCTGTGTGGGAAGCAGCAGGTGGTTTAATGGGAACTCTGCTGTTTTAAAACAGCAGAAAGCCATTCCTCCTGTCTCGTGTGTTCTCCTTGGGGTGACACCTGAGTCGCCCTTCCCTGTCTGCAACGGTGACCGTGTGTTGTTACAGGTGTGCCTGACCACATCCACATGGGTACAGGACCTCCAGCTCAGTTCAACCGCATGGAAGAAATGGTACTTGGAAGGAACAGGGTGTGGGGAGGGTGCCCTATTAGTGTCCTCCACTGATGCTTCTCCAGGTGTGGGGTGCACACCTGTCATCCCTGCACTCAGGAGGCCGAGGCACGAGGATCGCTGTGAGTTTGAGGCCAGCCTGGGCTACATAGTGAGTTCAAGGCCAGCCTGAACTGTATAGCTTGACCTTACCTCAAAAAGCATTGATGTTTTTCATTGAGTTTTTCCATTTTGTAAATATCCATGAAATACTTGTGTGCTGAGTGAGTGGCAGTGTCTGAAGATTCAAGTCTTGCTCTGAGGACCCGGAAGTCTTGTTCAGGTCAGTCTCTGTGTCACAGGGAGTCCAGGGTGGTCGTGCCAAGCGCTACTCATCGCAGCGGCAGAGACCTGTGCCTGAGCCCCCCACCCCTCCTGTGCACATCAGCATCATGGAGGGACATTACTACGACCCATGTGAGTAGTATGTTCCATGTGGGGTACAAGTGGTACATTCCACACAAGTGGGTGCACATCAGAGCAGGCTGCCTCGCCTGCTTTTATTGCCCTCCTGGCCTCCTGTGGTGGTTGTCAAACACTGCTTAGTTGCTGTTTGCTTCATATGGAAAAAATATTTTTTTGCTTTCTCTTCTTTCTTTGTTGGCATTACACAGGATTAAACCCTCTACCACAGAGCCACGTCTCCATTTTCTAAAATTTGAGACCTAGGCAGGGTCCCACTGAGCTGCCCACACTACCCCTCCACTTGACAATCCTGCCTCAGCTTGTTGAGCAGCTGGCAGAGAACAACTTCTAAAGGGTTTGGGGGATAAGACAACTTGTCCATGTGCTGTGGAGAGGAAGGGTTTTGTGAGTCCCACTGTGTTCTCTTACAGTGCAGTTCCAGGGACCAATCTATACCCACGGAGACAGCCCCGCCCCCCTGCCTCCGCAGGGCATGATTGTGCAGCCGGAAATGCACCTTCCCCACCCAGGTCAGTGTGGCGCTCCTGCCTGTGCTTTCCAGTGGGGGAGGGTGTGTTGGGGCTCTGCTCGTGAAAGCGCCCTGTGGAGCTTTTCACTGCTGCCGCAGCACCTGCCCTCACCTTGAGGACTTCCATCCAGGCAGCCCAGCCAGGCCCTTGGAAACAGTAGTGTCATCCTTTTCAATCTGCGTCCTCTCTCCAGGTTTACATCCCCACCAGACGCCGGCACCTCTGCCCAGCCCAGGCCTGTACCCCCCACCAGTGTCCATGTCTCCAGGACAGCCACCTCCTCAGCAGCTGCTGGCTCCCACGTACTTCTCCGCTCCTGGCGTGATGAACTTCGGTAACCCCAGCTACCCTTACGCTCCGGGAGCTCTGCCTCCGCCACCACCACCTCATCTGTACCCTAATGCACAGGTGAGACGGCCAGTGAGCACACTTCTGCTGCAGCTGCTCAACCTTTAAAGAAGGCAGCAGTTAATTTTTTTTTTTTTTTTTTCCCCTGGAACCGGGGATTGAACTCAGACTCTTGTGCTTGCCAGGGAAGCTCTTATTCCACTAAGCCATCTCCCTGGCCCCAAGCAGTTAAAATTAAAAAAGAAGAGCTGGCCAGATAGCTCAGTGGATTAAAGTGCCTACTTAGGCAGATGCAAGGACTGGGGTTCCATCTCTGGCCTGCCATACCAGCCTGGGCGTGGTGGTGCGTGCCTGTAATCCCAGCGCTTGGGAGGCTGAAAGCAGGAGGATCACTACAAGTCCATATTATGTAGTGAGACCCTGTAGACCCTTACTAAATACAAAAAAAAATAGTAAAAAAAATAATAATAATAATAATGCAGGCAGGAGTTGCACACGTGGTGCTGGTGAAGTTCAGTGCCACTGGGCTTCGCGTGGTGCTCAGACGCCTCTTGGTGGTTGGGAGCTGGAAGTGCAGCTTACGTAATGCTCAGCTGCTGCCCGCCTCGATAGTGGTCGCAGGGTTGGGCCAGTGCAGCCTAGCTGGCCTGTGTCTGTCTGTCTCTGCGTGAGGAGCTTTGTGCTGCTCCTCTGTAGCTTCCCCAGCCCCTGGCCCGTTCAGCTGTCGGGTGGCACCATCTGTGTCTGATTGTCACCATGAGCTTAGCCTTTTCCATGTCAGCTGATGGTAAGGTAATCGGAGAAAGCTGGGCGATCCTTGGGAGACTCAAAACCAGAGCATAATGGTGACGTACAGAAGTGAACACTCCATTTATTTTGGAGAGGACAGCTTTAAAAAAATTGAGAAATTCTTCACACTTTCTTTTGATGGGGTGAGGTCACTGTCAGCTGCCCTGAAGTCTCAGTCCTCTTGCTTCAGCGTCCTGAGTGCTGAGATTAGCAAGTGTCAGCACTGCACCTGGCTCCAGACTCCTTTTCGAAGATGGATAGTGTCTCCTGTTCATGGTGGGATGGATTCTTACCTTTCTCTTCTGGCTTGTGGGGTCACAGGCCCCCTCACAGGTATACGGCGGAGTGACCTACTATAACCCTGCCCAGCAGCAGGTGCAGCCGAAGCCCTCCCCACCGCGGAGGACGCCGCAGCCGGTCTCCATCAAGCCCCCTCCACCGGAGGTATGGGCTCCTTCCCACGCTGAAGGCGCAGACTGTTCAGGGCGCTTGCTCCAGAGGACTGCTTTGCAGGGTTGTCTCTGTGGAAATGTCCTTTTTACATGGCCTGACAGTAGTTCTCAACTTGGTTATTGCAGGTGGTGAGCAGGGGCTCCAGTTAATTTGACACTCTGAATATTTCCAGTCCAACATCATAAAATGTAAGTGCACAGCTTACTCTGACCTTTTTTGTTGTTGTTTTTTATTTTGAGACAGTGTCTTACTATGCAGTTCAGGGTAGACTCGAACACCTGGCGATCCTCCTGCCTCAGCCTCTTGAGTGCTGGGATGACAGACATATACTTACCACGCGCGGCCCTGTGACTGTTCTTGAAGTGCATCCTCGTTCTTGCTAAACATCCCCTGCCTACTGCGGCACGTGGTAGTCAGGACCTCTCTGAAGCTTAAAGGAGACCTGAATTGGCCATTTTCTTTGTTTTGTGAACGCATCGGACAGAGCTGAGGACTCAGCGTTGTTAAAGGGACAGTTCGATGCTTTCAGGGAGCAGCAAGGAGGAAATACAGCAGTGCAGCCAGGCCTGGTGGCGCCTGCCGTGACTCCAGCATTTGGAAGCTGACGCAGGGAGTCACAAGTTGTAGCCCCTGTGGGGCAACTTAATAACCAGGACCCTTGGGCTGCTGAGATGGCTCAGTGGTCTAAAGCACCTACTTAGAACAAGCTTAGCAAAGCACAGGGACCGCGGTTCAATCCCCCAGCACCACATGCCAGCCAGCCCCGCCCCCTGGTGGGCTGAGCTGGCCACACACACACACACACACACACAAATAAATAGTTAATTAAAAAAAAATAACCAGGACCCTTTTTTTTTTCTTTTTTGTGAAACTGGGGATTGAACTCAGGCCCTTGTGCTTACCAGGGAAGCGCTTATTCCACTGAGCCGTCTCCCCAGCCCTAGACCCTGTCTTGATAAGAAAAGAGGATGGGGATGTAGCTCATGTAAGGGCCAGCTTTATTCCGTGTTTTAGGGAGGAGTCTGCAGGGTGTTGGGGATCTCACTACTAGATGGGACTTGTAGTGATCCGCCTGTTTACAGCCTCCCAAGGGCTGGGATTACAAGCGTGCGCTACCACGCCCAGTCTCATTCACTCTCTCTGCCTCCTGGGGATCAAACCAAGAGCCTGGCTTTAATCACAGTATCACAGGGCGCACACATATACACAAAGAAGGGAGGGAGGGAAAATATCCAGGGATGCAGTGTGAGCCAGAGCAGAGAAAGGGGAAATCTTAAAATCAAGGCAAAATAGACAGTTGTAAAGGTCATAGAGGAGGAGCTGGTGAGATGGCTCAGTGGTCTAAAGCACCTACTTAGAACAAGCTTAGTAAAGCACAAGGGACTGCGGTTCAATCCCCCAGCACCACATGCCAGCCAGCCCTGCCCCCTGGTGGGCTGAGCTGCCCCCCCCCACACATACAAATAAAATTAAAAGAAAAAAAAAAGTCATAGAGGACAGGCCATGGCGGTCCTTTGGCTTCTTCTTTTTTTTAATTTTTTTTTGGCGGAACCGGGGATTGAACTCAGGCCCTTGCACTTGCCAGGGAAGCGCTTATGCCACTGAGCCATCTCCCCGGCCCGGTCCTTTGCCTTCTATTTAAGGGCATTACAGCCCTTTTTGTAAGGCCTGCAGTGTGGCTGGCTAGCAGAGTCTGGGCTCCGTGCGGGGCTCCAGGACAAGAGAACAGCCACAGTGCTGAGCGATCCTGAGGGCACTTGTCACTCTTAACCCCTGTGGTTCTCCTCCCCTTTCCCTGCCCTCAGAGCTGTGATCTCAGGAGAGAAGAGCACTCCAGCGGCCGCTGTTACCACCCCACCCGAGGCTCTGCGGAGGAGCTTCCTCCCTCCTCCCTCCTCCCTCCTCCCTCCTCCCTCCAGGACAGGCTCTGCTGAAAGTGGAACACATGGCCAGCCGGGCCACCCAAGCTCTGCGCAGGAGCCCACCTCGCTGCACTTCACCTTCTCCTGGGACCTTCAAGGGTCTCTGGTCCCTAGGGATATCCCTTCCTGTGGTTGTTTCTGTTTTCTAAAATGTTAATTTTAAAAAATCCTGGCTTGCTATTTTTAATGTTCTTAGTCTTTCTCCATGAAATGAGTCTGTCTTTCTGGCTTGCTGCCCTTTGGGTCCCTTCGCCTCTCCTTACATCACAGCCCGCCGAAAGCACATCCACCCGGAGTGAGGAGAGCACCCACCCTACCTGTGCCAGGCATGCGCCCTTTCCTACGTAGGAAAACCTGTCCACGCAGTGTCCCACTGCAGGGGAGGAGTCGTCTGCAGAGAAGGGGGCGTGGGTGCCTGGCCGGCCTCTGCGGCTGGGAGGGTGGGACTCCAGGCCCGGAGGGATGAGTGGGCGGGGCTGCGGCTCCTGCCCCCTCCCAGGCGCCCAGCTGCCAAGGGCCTGCGGGCTGCTGCCAAGGGCCTGCGGGCTGCTGCCGTGGGCCTGCGGGCGGCCTCACCGGCGGTTGCTCTCGTACCGTTCCTGCTACAGGTGTCTGTGATGTTTCCACCTTTCTCCCCGCAGTCCTCACGAGCGGAAGGCACTAGGCCTGGGCTTCCAGCCCATGGCTGCCAGTTGTCCTGTGAGCTGGGTTCCCCGCTCTCCCCACCACAGCCCTGAATGTTCCTTGCACTTAGGGAAGAGCTTCCTGTCACTGCAGGGCTCTGTCCTTCCTCAGACATGAGGGAGAGGGGTGACCGTAGTGTTCCTCCTGCCGCGGCAGCTGGCCTGACCGTTCCGAGTCACTGTGGTGGAGAGTGCAAGGCGTTGAGGTGGAACGCAGGAGGAAGGCGCGAGGGCTTCCCGGGGCAGCTGGTGCTTGTGCCTTTGTCAGCTTCCCTTTGCCTTAAACCTGAAGACGTCTCTGCAAGCCTGTGGGCCACTGCCCAGACTCCCAGACCCGAAGACACTGTGACTGTTGTCTCCGTCCACTGTGTTTAGTTGCAAAGATTTCTCCGTGCGATGTTTTTGTTACTAAAGAGTATACATTTGTGATCAGCATTGTGACCTGAAGATAATAAAATTTAGATTATAAACTCAGTTCCCTTGCCAGGGTTTGTGTGAGTCTGGATTTGGGGAAGAAGGTGAGCCACCCCACGCCCCTGTTGGGCAGGTAGACTTGTGGAGGCCCCGAGGGGTGGGGAGGTGCCCTGCACAGTGCTCTTCCTCTCGCCCTGCGCATAGCTGGGTGTGCTGCAGCCTGCTGCTGCCCCAGGACACAGGATCCCTAGTGCCTGCCTTTGTGTGTGGTGACCAGAAAATGCCAGCGCTGCACCAGCTCTCAGGTGAGGCACAGATGCTGTCCCCAAAAAGTAAACATGCTGGCGCTGACCAGCAGAGTGGTGTGTGAGGTGCCAGCGGCTGACTCCTGACACCCTTTCCCTGGTCCTTGGGGCCCCGGATGTGCCATGGTAATTCCCAGCTCTAATGGACTTTCCTCCAGCTCCTGGGTAGGGTGGAAGTTAGGAAAGGGTTCCCCTAGCACGGGAGAGTAATTGCATTGAATAGGCTGCCAACATTTGTTGGGGGCAGCATGGGCACCCTAAAATGACAGACTGAGATCCCACATGCTGGGGTTGCTGCAGCCACATGACCACGACTTCCCGACCTCTCTGATTCTTCTAAGCCATCATTTTGTTTCCCTTCTTGCACACAGGGTGATGGTGATGATAGGTTGGTCTCTTGGGGTCATGCCAGGAGTGTCAACCAGTGGGTATAGGTTACTGGTAGGAATGAATGAATGTTAGGATGCTTCCCCCTCACCCCTTCCTCTAGCTTCCTCAGGCCTGCAGTTAGATCCCATTGCTCTCTGTTGCCCTGGTAACCAGCTCAGCAAGAAGAAGCTCAGGCTCAGCAAAGCCCCCTGGTTCTCTGCCCTCCCAGCTTGCCTCTTGGTGGGCAGAAAGAAGTAGAGGAAAGGGCCCTCAGATGGGCCTTGGGTGACCCCACCTAATCCCCTGGAAGTGCCAGGGGTAAAGTTGCCTGTCAGCTTTCTGCCTGAAAGCTGCTCCCAGCAGTAAGTCCTATCACCCTGCCTTTTATTTCTCCCATATAACCACAGGTGCCATGCCAGCCCTAGCCCTCCAGGCAGCACACAGGCCTTCTATCTTTGGGCACAACAAGGATTTGAATTTTCTGGCATCTACAGCCCACTTGGTTTGGGCTGCACCACTAGGGCAATGATGTTGAAGCCTGGCTATTTGAGCCACCTGGGGAGTGTTCACAAATATATGAACTGGGTGTAGTGGTGCACCCCTGTAATCCCAGCACTGAGGAGGCTGACGCAGGAGGATCACCAGGAGGAATTCCAGGCCAGCCAGCGCTACTTAGGGAGACTGTCTCAAAAAGCTAAAAACAAATCAAAGAATGCAATATGTAAGCTCAGGCCTGCCTTCGTGCCTCCTTTGAAACATCTGAGGTGTGGCTGGAGCATCAGAGTTTGCGAAAAGCCTCCCTGTCATTCCAGGGCGCAGGACGACACTGCTGGGTCTCCTGATGATAACCCTCCAACTCGGTCACTGCCTGGCCCCTCTGAGCAGTCAGAGGGCTGCTGCAGCCTTACTCCCCAAGCTTTTAGTTTCCAGAAGTCTCAGTCCCTTTTATTTCCAGCTTCCACTCCCCCCACACTCCCCAATTCTTCACCCTTCCTAACGACAATCCCAAATCCTGCCCAGAGAGGAGGTTACCAAGGCAACAAGCTTAATCTGGTAACTGTGGCATGTGCTGGGAAAGAAGCCCTCCCCTCTTCTGTTCGGTTCACAAAATGCTACCTGGGCAGCTCCAGGCCACTCCAGCCAGCATCACCTTTCAACCCCAGGAGTGCTGGAGTGTCCCATGAAGGCAGCCCAGGACCCTCAGACCTACGCTGTCAGCCACAGTTGGGCTGAAGCTCTCTATTGTCGGCTCTCCAAATCCACAGATGGGTGTGCAAAGCTTCATTTCTGTGAACACATGCTCCCGCACACATGGGCCCCAGAACGCATACAAGTCACGAGGGTAGTGCACACCACCACCACTCCCGGCAATTAGCCTTCCCAACTGGGCCCGCCTGGTGCACCATGAACGGGTGGGGCGGTGTCAAGGAGCCTCAACCCACCTCAGGCCTGGGGCCAAAGCCCAGCCTGGGTGTGCTCACCCCGGCTCTGGCCCTTCCTGGGCAGAGCACCCTTAGGGACACACTGCTCTGGGCATGGACATCAGAGGATGGCTTAGAATCCCGACTTGGCATCACTTTTCCCAGTCCATGGCGATCTACACCAGCTCTGGGTGGTGACATCCCTTGACAGTTCCGGGGCACTTGTCACCCTTTGCGTGGCCCTGCTTCCCTCAGCCACCAGGCTCCTCCCTCTGCCCACTATCTCTTCTCAGCCCAAGACCTGCCACAACCTGCTGCTCTCTGCCTGCCGGTACCTGTCTCGCAGGCCAGCCCTGCACCACCTACTCTACCCTGCCAGAGAGGGCAGAGGAGCACCAACCCGGTGCCAAGCCCACCCACCCGAGAGGCCTTTCAATCCTCCTCACTGAGTCCATGGGTGGTGGCACAGGCCAGTCTGTAATCCCAGCGCCGGGGAGGCTGCAAATGAGGGTCACTACAACTCCGAGCTGCATAGTGAGAACCTGTACCAAATACATAAAAAACCAAACCAAACAAACACAAATCCTCCTCATGAAGGACGATAGAGGCGACCTAATCCCGCCAGGATAACAAAGGCACGTGGGGGTCAGCACTCTTAGGGCCTCACCTGGGCACCAGGTAAAAGCACGCAGTCACAGACCTGCCCCAGCTCTTGGAAATGACGCTGAACACCCCAGCCAACCCCCTAAGTAGGGACTCTTCCATCGCTACCCTGTTCCGTGGCCTTTTCCCTTTATTTCTGCGCCTGTCCCTAGCCAAACCCTTTACGTCCCCTCACAAATCTGCCCTAAATCCAACTGCAAATCTGGCCTGGCTCGGGGGCGGGGCCACGAAGGGGCGGGGTCAGGGGCGGGGCCTGAGAAAGGGGGCGCGGCCTCGGCTCTGCCACCTTCCCGGGGCCGCGAGCGCAGCCGCTGCCGCGTCCTCCCGCGCTGCGTTCTGCCCGCTCCTTTGCTGCCGCAGCCCGGACTGAAGCGCAGAGCCGGCGCCGGCCCCGCAGCCGGCGCGTCCTCGACATGGGGGGCCGCTGAGAGTGCGCGTCCTCCGGCACCTGCGGCCCGGCCCCGGGCTCCGGTCAGCCAGCTCCAGCCACCCCTGCCCCGCTCCGGTGCCTGGCACGGCCCTGCGCCCTGCGCCTCCGGCCCGGAGCACCGGGTCCCCGCCCCCCCCGCCCGTGCCCGGGACACCTGGGTCCCCCGGCGGCCTCCGGGAGAGGGGCGGGGGGGGCATGAAGCCGCTGGAGAAATTCCTCAAGAAACAGACGTCGCAGCTGGCGGGGCGCGCGGTGGCCGCGGGGCCTGGCGGGGGTCCGGGCGGGGGACCCGGCGGAGGCGGGGGTCCGGGCGGGGGCGGGGGTCCGCCTGGGGGTCCGCGGGCGCTGCAGCGGCGCCAGAGCGTGTCCCGCCTGCTGCTCCCCTCTTTCCTGCGCGAGCCCTCGGCCGAGCCGGGGTTGGAGCCGCCTGTGGAAGAGGACCGGGCCGATCTGGCGGGGGTGGCCGAGGACCCGGGCGGCGGGGGGCCCTGCTGGCTTCAGCTGGAGGAAGTGCCGGGGCCCCTGCGCTCCCCGTCCTCCTACTCCTCCGATGAGCTGTCCCCTGGGGAGCCCCTGACTTCGCCGCCCTGGGCCCCCCTGGGCGCCCCCGAGCGGCCCGAGCACCTTCTCGACCGGGTCCTGGAACGCCTGGCTGGCGGGGCCACCAGGGACAGCGGCGCCTCAGGTAAGGGGTCCGCTGAGCAGAGCAGGGCCCTGGCTCCCCTTCGTGTCCTTGGAGAAGGGGGTAGCGCCGGTACTGGAGCCTGGGGTGGGGCTGAGGGGTTCCCGAAGTGGTAGGGTCTGAGCGGGGCCACAGACCCCCCGCCGGGGGAGGGGCGACAGTGCCCACCGTCCCTCTTCCTCTCCCCTAGCCACGCTTGCTCCCCGTTGGACAGTTTAGCCACGGTCCCCTGGGCCTGTGCCCCACCATCAGGTCTTGACATGCTAAGATGGAAGTGGCAAGCCCGCCCGTGCCACCCTCAGCAGAGCTCAAGGCCAGAGGCCTGACTCAAGCCCTGGGTGTGTGGAGGCCGAGGGCCCAGGCCAGGCAGAGATGCGGTCGGCAGAGGCCCACGGCCGGGCAGAGCGACGCACTGCACTCTCCATGGCTGGGTGAGGGTGTTCTTTGGGTGGACACTGAAGGCGCCGGTGAGGAAGGGGGGCAGCATCTGGACCCCCAGCATCAGCGGGGTGTCTGAGCCTTTCCATCTCTCTCCCTCAAGTTTGGCAGCCTCAGTACCGACCTCTTTACAAAGTAAAAACCCCACCCTCAGACGTGTTTTCCCTAAATTTCTCCCCTCTCTCCACACCCTGCTAAGGGGGCTATAAGGAAACTGAGACCCCAAATTGCTAAGGAAGAAGACTTGTTCAAGGCATTGCTCTAACTTAACCCAGGATGCTCCTTTGGGAGACCCCCATTGAGACCCTCATGATGCGAGTCTTTGGCCTTTGCGCTTAACCCTCTGCATGGAACCCCAACTTAGGTGCTCAGGGTGGGGCACCACTCCCCAAGATTTTTCTCAAGGAAGGTCTGGGTCCTCTCCTGTGGTGGAGGCTGTAGTTGCCCTGGAGAGCTGACACCTTTCAGATTTAATTAGAAAAATATCAGACACACACAGCTCTCCTAACCATAACTTCCCGCCCACACCACACACCCTCTGTCTCTATGACACATTCCCTGGGGAGGCTGTGCCTTGGACCAAAGCCTGCTTTGGAAGAGACAGACGCCAAACCATAGCCCCCATATCGAGTCTCCCCCACTCTGCCCTTCACGCCTTTCGTTGCCCTGCCTGTGCTCTCCCACCCCTGAATGTGGAAAGCAGATGTAAGGGAGTTGGGATCCTTGCTGCTCTGAGAGGCTGGGGGCTTTCTGGTCCCATAGGAGAAGGGACCTGTCTTTCTTCTCCTTAAGACCCACTGCCATGGATTCTCAGGGTCCCCTGGGAGGATATTGGTCATCTCCCCTTATTATCAACCCCAAAGTAACTGGTCTGGGAAATCCCAAACCAGTCTCAGTGGGAATAAGAATGGAATCGCCCCTCTGACAGTTCTGGTGTAACCCATGTTCTGTTGTTTTCCTTGAGGGGTTTATAGGAAGAGGGACTTCCAGAAGGCTGAATCTCTTAGATATCCAGGCAACCCCTACACCTGGCCCTCTGCTTGCCTCAGCACTCAGAAAACATGCTCAGGTGTCTGGGTTCTTCTAACTCGAGGCCTCAGTTTCTCCTTTGACCTGAGACAATTGAAGTAGATGATCATCAGTGGTTGCTCCTTCTCTACCTTAGCAGCTAGAAGTGGTTGGCCATGGGGTGGCAGGAGCCCAGGTTCCGTCTGGAGCAGTGCCTGGGGGACCTGGCCTTAACCTGTCCTGGCAGCGACACCCGGCTCCTTCCCTGTACCCTCCCTGCCTGAGTGCCAGGAGGCCCTGCCCCACCCTGGGGCTGGCTGCAAGTCAGGGCGACCTTGTACCTGGCTGACTGGCTGGGCCAGGCCCAGACAGGGGTGTGGAGGGGGAAGCGAAGCAAGGAGAACCCCTCCCGCCACCTGCCGCCCTTAACCCTTGCATCTCTGTGTGCCTAGAGGTCCCGGCACCCAGTTCAGGCTCTGAGATCAAAGATGGCAGTCACTTCGTCCCTTTCCTGGGAATAGGGAGGGGAGAGAGGACTCTAATGGCCTTCTGGGGCACCTTCCCTACTCAGGGGCTGTGCCCAGCTCCCACCACTCTGAAGGGGAAAGTGCAAGGCCATCCAAGGCACCCCTTCCTCAGCTGCTGTGGCAGCTGCCAGCCCCACCCCTGAGCAAGCAAGTCAGCAAGCTGCCCGGAACCTTCACCCTCGTGCGTGCATGTGTGTGCACAGGCCAGGGCAGGTGGCTGCGGCTCCAGCCTGGCTGAAGAGGACGCTCAGTGGCAAGAAAGGGGTACAGTGCAGGGTGGCCCTGACATCTGTGGCACCCACTGATCTCCACAGATGTCCTGCTGGATGACATTGTCCTCACGCACTCCCTCTTCCTCCCAACGGAAAAATTCCTGCAGGCCCTGCACCAGTAATATCCTTCCATGGAGTCAGAAAAGGGAAGACCAGAAAGGGACAGTCCCCCACACCCCACAGGGGGTGATACTGGGGCTCTAATTCCAGCACTCAGAAGGCTGATGCAGGAGGATTGCTTCAAGTGCAAAGCCAGGCTGAACTATACAGTGAGACTATCTTTTTTTTTTTTTTACGGAACCAGGGATTGAACTCAGACTCTTGTGCTTGAGCCATCTCCCCAGCCCCAGAGGCTCTATCTTAAGCCAGAAAACAAACCAAGACAAAAACACAATAGCCTTCTTATTCCCCGGATGTGCGGGACCTCAGCCTCTTGCGGAGAATGCCATGTGCCCTGACACCCAAAGGCTGCCGTGAAGGTCATTGTGGGAACAGGTGCGAGTCCCTGGGCCCCTGTGACAATTAGACCTGTACACAAAAGAGGGTTTAGTATTCATTCCACATTGACCTACTCAGGCAAGCATCTGGGTGGCCGCTGAGTTACACGGGAGCAACACCCACGTCGGGTTGTAGGTGTGTCTCAGTAGGGTCCGCTGGAGCTAAGTCAGACAGACTGGCTTGTCCTGGGAACACACGCAAACACATAGCTTCGCACTGGTTTTTTTTTTTTTTTTTTTCTATCTCGCACTGGGTTTTATTAGGCTAGTCATTTTGTCATTGTTTTGAGACAGGGTCTCACTCCAGGCTGGTCCCAAGCTCAAGGCGATCCTCCTGCCTCAGCCTCTAGCATGCTGGGATGGTAGCTGTGTGTCACCACACCCAGTTTCACTAAGCTATTTTAGAACCCAGTGGTAAACAGGCCACTTAGTTAGAATGTCATGGCCTGTCTTAGAAATGTCAGGCCTCTTTTCTGCTGCAGCTCTACCCAGCTGTGGCCAAGAAGATGCCATTGTTATCTGCTCTTGGAAAACCCTCAGGCTGGCCCATGACTCCCGAACCTCCTGTGTCACTAGCCCCAAACCTAGAGAGGAAGTGGGGTCCTGTAACCTGCAGTTGCCTCTGGTCCCAGCTTCCTCTGGTCTCCCTGCCTGCCTCGGGCTTTTTCTTAACTTTGGGGTCAGCTTTGTTCGGGCAGGGGGCCTGGAGGACCCCGAGGGGCTGGGCCGGAAACAGGCCTGTCTAGCCATGCTCCTCCACTTCCTGGACACCTACCAGGGACTGCTGCAGGAGGAAGAAAGCGCTGGCCACATCATCAAGGTGGGGCATGGTGGCCAGGCTGTGTACCCCAAGGGGTCCTGGGAGGAGCCACTGTCCCTGAGATGGGTACCAGGAAGCCTCTTAGCCTCTCTGGTCTTCTGTGCCCTGCCCTGGCACAAGACCCCCCAGCCTCACGTTGGCCCTTCCCCCAGGACCTGTACCTGCTGATTATGAAGGATGAGTCCCTCTACCAGGACCTCCGGGAGGACACGCTAAGGCTACACCAGCTTGTGGAGACGGCGGAGCTGAAGTGAGTGGGATGGGACAGGGAGAGGTCCCAAGCTCTTCTGTTCCAGAGGCTGCCTCTGGCCTTTGGGCATTACTATGGGGTTTCTGTGGTTTTGGTTTTGTTTTTTTGAGACGGGGTCTCACTATATAGTCCAGGCCACCCCTGAACTCACTATGTAGCCCAGGCTGGCCTCAAACTTGCAGCAACCCTCCTACCTCAGCCTTCCGAGTGCTGGGATTACAAGTGTGTGCCACCTTGCTAAGCTGGGTTTTTGCATTTTGTGTTTTGAGACTGGGTCTCACTATGTAGTCCACGCTGGCCTTGAACTTGTTGTACTGTGCCACACCCTTCCCTTTTCTTCTCATGTCCCCTGCATCCATGACACTCTGGGTACAGCCACTGCCTCCCAGGACACCCTCTTCCTGCCCCTTTCTCTTTCTCTTTCCCCCAAGGCCCAGATCAAGGCTACCTCCTCCATGCCAGTGTCCCCAGTCCACCTCTAGGAGCAGCTGGCTCTGCCCCCTGGGCGGGGATCACTGTCCCGTACCTTGGCCCCATCATCAACACTTCCTGCATGGTGCACATCTGTCTGTCTCCAGACTGAAGCCTTTGTTGGCCAACGTCAGGAACATCTGACAGCTTCTCACCTACTGTTGGGCGGGGTGCTGAGCCCTGATGAAATAAAACTTCAGTCAGAACCATCCCAGTCCTCAAAGGCTTTCCATCTCCTACAAGAGATATGCATGAAGCCAGACTAATCCTAGCACACAGGAGGCTAAGGCAGGAAGATCCCAAGGTTGAGCTCCACCTAGGCAATTTAGTGAGTTAGTGAGCTCCTGTTTCAAAATGAAAAAGAGTTGAAAATGTAGCTCAGTGCAAAGGCCCTGGGCTCAACTCTAGGTACCCCCCAAATAAATAAATAAAAAGAATAAGGTCCTAAGAATAAAGGCTAAAATTAATTAACAAAAAAAAAAATAATAATAATAAAGGCTAGCAGGTGAACTTCCTGGTGGTGGGTCAAAAAAGGTGTATCATGGCATCAGACTGGGTTCCCTGACAGCTGTCCCTCGGCAGGTCACTGTTATCTCTGCCACCCCCTCCTGGAATGAGCTGGGCACTGTGACCCAGTTCCTTCCTGTTGGCTGCGTAGTGCTCCCTGAGCCCCGCAGCGCTCACTGATGCCCGCTGCCCACTGTATCCGTGCCAGGATCCCAGAGGAGAGCCAGCCGCCCAGCAGGCAGGTGAAGCCACTCTTTCGCCACTTCCGCCGCATTGACTCCTGCCTGCAGACCCGCGTGGCCTTCCGGGGCTCAGATGAGAGTGAGCCTGGGTTTTGGAAGCCCTGGGGTGGGGGACGGGCTCCCCTGTACCTGGCCTAGCTACAGTGGGGTACAGGGCTCAGGCGCCCTAGAGCCTGTACCCGCTGCCACGCCGCCCTGTCTCTGCAGTCTTCTGCCGGGTCTACATGCCTGACCACTCCTACGTGACCATACGCAGCCGCCTGTCAGCATCCGTGCAGGACATCTTGGGCTCTGTGACTGAGAAGCTGCAGTACTCCGAGGAGCCCGCCGGCCGGGAGGAAGCCCTCATCTTGGTAGCTGTGGCCTCCTCGGGAGGTGAGGGGGCCAGGGCCACCGGCGCCCTGGGCAGAGATGACAACTGGATTCTAACCTGGGTCTGGTGATGCACACCTGTCATCCCAGCGCTCAGGAGGGTGAGGCAGCAAGATCTCTGAGTGTGAGGCCAGCCTGGACTATATAGTGAGACCCTGTCTCAAAACAAAATAATGGACCGGGGAGAGGGCTCAGTAGAAAAGCGCTTGCCTGGCAAGCACAAGGGCCAGGTTCAATTGAACCAGGTTCAATCTCCCGTTCTTTTTTTAAAATTTTATTTATTTATTTATTTGTGTGTGTGTGGGGGGGGAACTCAGCCCAGCAGGGGGTGGGGCAGGCTGGTATGTGGTGCTGGGGGATTGAACCGCGGTCCCTGTGATTTGCCAAGCTTGTTCTAAGTAGGTGCTTTAGACCACTGAGCCATCTCACCAGCCCCAATCTCTGGTTCTGCAAAAAAAAAAAAAAAAAAAAAAAATGAGAGGTGGACGTGAGTCTCTGGTCTACAATGTGGCTGTCAGTGTTAGGAGCTTCTGCATGGGGGTGGAGGTGGCAGCTGGGGGTGCATAGGGCCAGGCTGAACCCCGTTCTTCTGCAGAGAAGGTCCTGCTGCAGCCCAATGAAGACTGTGTCTTCACCACACTGGGCATCAACAGCCACCTGTTTGCCTGTACCCGGGACAGCTACGAGGCCCTGGTAAGAATGCGCCCCTGCAGGCACATGGTACACCTGCAATCCCAGCACGTGGAAGGCTGAGGCAGGGGCCTTGTTCTGGTTGAAAGCCAGCCTCGGCCACAGAGCAAGACTGTCTCAAAAAGAAAAACTCTATCCCAAGGCCTTGGCTGGAGCAGGGTTGGGGGCAGGCCCTGAGCAGCACCTCACTGTCCTGCCGCCCCCAGGTGCCCCTCCCTGAGGAGATCCAGGTGTCCCCAGGAGACACAGAAATCCACCGCGTGGAGCCTGAGGATGTTGCCAACCACCTGACAGCCTTCCACTGGGAGCTGTTCCGATGCGTGCACGAGGTTAGGCTGGTGGTGTGCGGACCGAGGCCCCCACACTCAGAGAAGTACGGGGGACCCCGGGGCAGGGTGGATCAGGGCGCCCGGGCTGCTCACACGGAAACTCAGCAGGGTTAGTGTTTTAAAAATATCCACTACTGGGCTGGCCAAATAGCTCAGCGGGCTAAAGCGCCTGCTTAGGCAGAGTGCAGGGAGGGGCTTTGATCCCCGGCAAGCGCGCCGGCCCCACCCCCAAAGCCTGCTGAGGCTGCAATTGAGACTGGGTATAGTGGCTTGCCCATGTAATCCCAGCACTTGGGAGGGTGAAAAACAGGAAGGATCCCTACAAGTCTGATCTGTGTAGTGAGACCCTGTAGACCTATACTAAATACATTAAAAAAAAAAAAAAACAAACAAAACTACTACTTCCAGTGTAGGGGTGCCCGCCTATCACCCCAGCACTTTTGAGGTATCTTGGCAAGGTTGAGGCTGGCCTATTGTAGGAGACCCTGGCTCACACAAGTGTTTCTGTCACGTCCTGTCCCCCTGCTCTGTGTCCCACCTGGCGCAGCTGGAGTTCGTGGACTACGTGTTCCATGGAGAGCGCGGCCGCCGCGAGACAGCCAACCTGGAGCTGCTGCTGCAGCGCTGCAGCGAGGTCACCCACTGGGTGGCCACCGAGGTGCTGCTGTGCGAGGCCCCGGGCAAGCGTGCCCAGCTGCTCAAGAAGTTTATCAAAATCGCTGCCATGTGAGGGAGCTCCGGTGTAGAGGAGGGATGCGGTGGGGGAGGGGCGGGGCGGAGCAGGGGGCGGGGAGAGAAAGGGCTGGCGAGGCGGCCTGACACCTGCTACCCGGCCCGCCCGCAGCTGCAAGCAGAACCAGGACCTGCTGTCCTTCTATGCTGTGGTCATGGGGTTGGGCAATGCCGCTGTCAGCCGCCTGCGGCTCACCTGGGAGGTAAGGAGGACCCCGTCCCCACTAGGCCACACCTTGGGGACCACAACCTCCTGGGCATCGTGGGCAGTGCGGCAGAGCACACAGCTCAGCTCAGGTCAAGGTACAAGAGTAAAAAGCCGGGCCTACACCTATGACCCTGGCACAGGAGGCTGAGGCAGGAGAATTGCCTCGAGATCGAGGCCAACCCCAACTACATGAAAGAGACTATCTCAGAAATGAAGCAAAAACAGCCTCAGTGGGAGGTTGGGTTTCAGGGCTGAAACCAGCTCCTTAGGTACATAGCCTCCTACCCCTACCCCTCTAACTCTTTTTTTTTTTTTTTTTTTTTTTT